CAATTCTCAATAGTCGTTTGTTAATGTTTTAAATAGAAAATCCTTGAATCGAAAGGATTTTTCAGGGGGACAATTATCATGTCGGAGATAATTTTCTTCGGCAAAAGCTCAACACAGCGGCTGGTATTAATTAATTTTCATTTCCAAAAAGAGAAAGACCGATAACCCATTAAGATGTGACCTTCCGACAGCGCGTGCGGAATTATTCACATGACTTCAATGTAACTGGGTTGGGCAATGAGAAAATTAAACAAACGTTTTGCTCTTAGGAAATTGGCCTCAGATAGCGCGCATTTTGCGAAACTTTAACCTTCCGCTATGTGAAAACGGGACGGTCGTTAAGCCCATTTGACCCATTATGGGATATTCGGGCACATCCAGAAAAAGTCTTAAGAACCAACAAAGATGGATGGACATTAACTCATAAAAGTGCGACAAACCATAATTCTATTTACCTTTTAGGCCTGTTATCCCAAAATTGTACATTCTAAACAAGAAATCTCCCTGGTAATCTATCAATTTTCATGAACCATATTTTGAAAATAATATTTTTAGTTTGAAAGATTTCTAAAGTTTTAAACGGTTACCAACATCTACTAATCTGGACTAACAGAAGAGTGACAAAAATCTTTCTGATTATTAGTATTTCAACATTTTTAACCACAATTTAACTCTCACTATAGATATTTGACTGTCCATTTCCATGAATTAATTTAAAGTTCTTGGCAATAAATACGGCAGATAATCGGAGTCCATAATTAACGTAACCAACTTTCACATTTTAACTCGGTACTCTCGTCATTATACGCTCTTTTCCAGTTTGTTAATTACCGGATTATGAATTAGAAAAACGGTTAAGACTATCCCGAAATGCGTTAGGCAATTATGAGGTTTTTGGCTTTTATCCATTTCAAAAGGGACGAAACTACGAGCCCTAATTATTAAGATAATAAAAGGATAAAATCTTAAAATTTATACAAACAAGGAAGGTTAAGGAAGTAAAATCACAGATTTTAATAAAACTTTTGCATTCTTGCCAATAAGATTTTTTATAAATACAGCTTTTTGCCTTTTCTGTCACAAGATGTAGAAAAAGTTACAAACCCCAACAGACTCTTGCCAAACCGAGTTAAAAAAAAAATTATTTTAATAAATTATTGAACAATGGCCGCTAAATAATATACATTATACTTTAAAACACTTAAATACGATTTTCTATAACCATCATTTTAACCTTCTCCACTCATCAGTAACTCTAACCTACACAAACCATCATGTAAATATTTAAATATTCCTGAACATCGTTAACCATCACAACCATTGTTAACCGATTCTAGCCAGGTTTTGTCAACATGGCTATCATTATAACCTTCCACAATCATCTGTAACCTACCTTGATATAAGTACATATTAATTTATAACTATGTTCTTTCCTATTTCTAGATTTCTCTAGCAACCCACGGCCACTTTTGATCGATTCTAGCTATTTTTAATCGATTTAACCATAATTCTAACCTTCTCCACTTATCTATAACCTACCCTAATCAACATACCATATTTACTGTCAATCATATTCATTTATAGCCACCCTATCTGCTTCTCACACAGTTTTAAGCCATCTCTAGAAACTCCCAACAACTTTTGATCGATTCTGGCTATTTTTAATCGATTTAACCATAAATCTAACCTTCTCCACTTATCTATAACCTACTCTAACCAACATACATATTTACTATCAATCATATTCATTTATAAGCACTCTGTCTGCTTCAGAAACAGTTGTTAGTCATCTCTAGAAACTTCCAACCACTTTCGATAAATTTTAGCTATTTTTAATCGATTTAACCAATAATTTAACTATCTCCACATATCTGTAGCCTACCCTAATCAACATACCATATTTACTACCAATCATATTCATTTATAGCTACCCTATCTGCTTCCCAAAATGTTGTTAGTCATCTCTAGAAACTTCCTACCACCTTCGATCGATTCTAGCTATATTTTAATCCATTTAACCATAATTTAACTATCTCCACTTATCTGTAGCCTACCCTAACCAACATACCATATTTACTACCAATCATATTCATTTATAGCTACCCTATCTGCTTCCCAAACTGTTGTTAGTCATCTCTAGAAACTTCCTACCACCTTCGATCGATTCTAGCTATATTTTAATCGATTTAACCATAATTTAACTGTCTCCACTTATCTATAACATACTCCAACCAACATACCATATTTATTAATAATATCTGTACCATATTTTCTACCCTATCATATTCACCTTGTAACTATGTATATATCTGGTGGCAATGGTTTGTCAACGTCGTAAATCGGACTGATTTGTGTCCTAAAGGGTTTCACAATGAGTTTTTGGTCCATTAACTCTTTCAAATGAAGGTTTATGGGCGCTAACAATAATGCAGATGCTTGAAAAGAACTTGTCCCCTTTTATTCCTCTCAGGAGTATTTTGCGTTGTAAATTCCTTAATTTTCTTACGTTGTGTTTTTTATTGATGTATGCCATATTGAAAAGGGCAGATCATCGGTAAAAGAAAAGATTCGCCGGATAATCAAGAAGTAGCAGTGAATCAAGTATAATTTGTCTAAGTCCTGGGCCGCGGAGTGAACCTCGTGGGCTTCCCAGATCAGGAAAATAAAATATTACCCGTTAAAAATTCGATACAGCATATAATGAAAAATGCCCCCAAAAAATACAAGAATAAATAACGAAAATACTCAGAGTTAATAATCAACTTACCATAAAAACTCGTCCCTCGTCTTGTCGGGTGAGAAAAAAAGAACATTCTGAAGGCTTATTTTTATGTTGTGCTAAAACCTGGTAGGTCTTCATGCTAAAGACGAAAAATTTTCACAGATGAAAATTGTACGAAAAAATTGGATTGTTAGAAGTAACAAAGCATTTTGCAACACCTGAAAATTATTTTTGTTCTTTTCCTACATGGAAGGACGATCGCGAGATGATAGAATAAAGTAGCTAGAAGCTAAATCTAAAACTTTATAAGTTAGGTTCATTATCCTAAGTACAAAAATTTACGATGTATGACCTAGAAAGTCATGTTACTTTGTACAATAAATTTAACTAAATCTGACAGATAAACAGCTCAGGCAAAACCACCTTGATATCACAACAATAATTGCTATATAGAAGACCAACATATTCAAGGCATGACACAAAAATCAAGAGAATCGCACCCACACTACTAAACAACTTGTGCAGCTTAAAAAAAATAGGTTCATCATCTTAGAGTCCAGAAACTACTTTTTCTGCATTATGACCAAGAGAGTCAATTTTGTTACTTTTTTCACTCTTTACGAGAAATTTACCAAAGTCTGACAGATAAACAATTCAAAAAAAACCACCTCGATCTCACAACAACAAGTGAGGATAGTAATCGCTTTATGTCGTACAAATAGGATAGAAAAGTGTAATGAAAACATAGAAATGTAGAAATTCAATATCTTCTGAACAAAAAAACAAGAAAATCGCACCCACACTACTAAACACCTTGTGCAGCGTAAAAAACAGGTTCATCATCTTAGTAGTACAGAAAAAACTCATTAATTTTTATGCATTATAATATGACCAAGAAAGTCAATATTGTTATTTCTTTCACTTTTTTTGAGAAATTTACCCAAAGTCTGACAGATAAACAATTCAGAAAAAGCCACCTCGATCTCACTACGATGCGTAAAAATAGCCCTATGACGTACAAAAAGGGTAGAAAATGATAATTAAAACATATAGATTTAGAAAACCGACTCATTCCACATATTATGAACAGAAAAATTAAGAAAATCGCACCCACACTGCAGAAACATTGTGCAGCTTAAAAAGAACACAAACAAACGAGGATATACAGATCGGGATTGTCCAAAAAGCAGAAAAACTACTGACACAAAAAAATCGCACTAAGGTTTATATATTATACGATCAAAAGAGTAGTATAGTTATAATTACATTTTACACGCTGTTCAAGAAATTTTACTAAATTCTGATACATAAAAAATCTTGGAAAAAACCTCGTCAAACCCACATCAAATGCATGTTAAAAATTGATCTATGGCGTACAAAAACGCTAGAATATAGTAATGAAAACAAAGGCACATACAAGACCAACATATTCAAGACATTATAAAAAAATTAGAAAATCGCACCCACACTGTTAAAAACCTCTGCAGCTTAAAAAGGAAGCTAAGAAGCGAGAATAGGTGGACCTGGATAGTCCCAGACGAATAAAATCTACAGGTTCTTTTACCCTACAGACTTTAAAAAATATCACCCCAAGGTCTATGGGGTAATATGACTAATAGAGACGGCATTGTTAATTTGTTCAAAAAATGTTACGAAATTCTGACAAATAAAAATGCAAGTTAAACACACACTCACGACAATAAATGTTAAAGTTAAAAATCGCTTTATGGAGTACAAAAAGGATAGAATGGTATAATGAAAATATAGAGATGTAGAAATTCAACATATTCTGAACAGAAAATTCAAGAAAATCAAACCTACAATATATCAAATCAAAGAAAATCAAATACCTAAACAAGCGAGGATATGCGGACCAATATGGTTCTTTAACCAACAGATCTAATTTTACGCAAAAAAATTATGTACTATAATATGACCTAGAGAGCCAATAATTTTACTTTCTACAGTGAGTGATTGAACCAAATATGAAAGATAATTTTGTATTTACATCAGGACAATATACAGTAAAAATGTGTTTGGTGTCATAGTAAAAGAGCTCCTGGTTGAAAGTGGAACGTCAAAAGGCCGCCCTTGTCGTACAGGGGTAGCGCCCGCACCCCCGGCACCCTTTTTTCCGTTTTCCACCCCCGGTGGGCCCGGAAGCGCACGCACCCCACCAGCCGTCTAGAAAATGGCGGTCCCGGCCCCCACCCTCGACGCGCCCCTACCCCGCCTGGTAAAAAGGATCCTTCGTCCTGCGAGCCGTTAGTCAGGACTCGTCGCTCCTACTGTCCGAATCCTTGGCGATCGTGTGTTTCTTGTGATTTATTCTTTTCGGAGTGATTTTTTTCTTCCAAAAAGTTCACCTTGTGGATTTAATCTTCTCAACACTTCAATTACAAAATTAAGTAAGTCGATTGTATTTTTTTAAATTAATTATTTTTAAACTACATATTTATTCTTATTACGAGTGGATAAAATAATATTTTAGTTGGTTCAGTTAACAAAGAAAAAAACATTTAAAAATAGGGTTTTTTCAAGTGTCTCTATAGATTTTTTACGAATCAGCCAAACATTTCATATTATTTTTGCAAAATAGAGTAAAACCTCCCGAGGTAAAAAACTACGCCGAGGTGTGATTTTCCAGGGAGATATTTAAACGTGTGCGCTTTTCGTACAGCCGACTGGTCGGAGAAATAATAGTCCAAGTTCCATAATTTTTTTATGTGAGTTCAGTTATTGTTTTATGTTTGAATTATTATTCTCTGCGTGATTTTTTATCGGGTGGATATGTTTTATATTGAGTTGTTTTACTGTCCGGCCATTTTACTCGTACGATAACTTCTAGCCAATACAATAGTAATATTGGTACTATCAAATTTGCAGATTTTGTTCAGATTATGTGTGTAGTGTAAAACTTAAAAATTGGTTTTACTTGTTTTTTAAAAAATTAATCTTATTTATTCTAGTTGTTTTTTTAATTTTGACTACTTCTATGTTTTATTGCATACAATTAGTTTGATGTTGATTTATGTTTGTTTATTTTAAAATATAATAGGCGTGAAAATAATTGATGAGCTTTCGGGTATATTTTTGAAAACGGTTGCGCCATCTAACTTTGACGGGCGGAAGCTTTTCCGTCGTGCTGGTCTGCCTAACGGCCGCGCCGCGTTTTGCGCAAATTGACATTGCCGCGGTTGGGACACGGGTCCGCCCAAGGTTTCCACGGATGGACTGCCATGTGTGCCAGGGTGTTCCCAGGGCGGCATCTTGTGCAACGGCTGGATTTCCACCAAGGTCGGAAGATGTACGGTGCAGGGTGCGGTTGCACAACTGGGGGGACGGTCGAGACCCTTTTGCAACCGGGCCAACACCGCCTCATCGTTCCTCATCGTTCGTTGTGTTCATTCGCATTTTGTTTTTCAGGATGAACCAGCAGTGCAAAGTGTGCGGCGAGCCCGCGGCCGGATTCCATTTCGGAGCGTTCACGTGCGAAGGGTGCAAGGTAACGTCTTTATGCTAAAAAAAAATTATTTATTCACTTGTTTGTATTCAATTAAAATGAACTTACATTCACTCAGTCTTCAGTACAACTCTTAAGTAAACATCTCGTCTAAATAAATTATTTTTAAGGATACACATGGACATGATTTCATTCATCTTTCTTATACAATAAAAATGAACATCAAGCCTCAATTTAAAACCATACAGGTTGAATTTATACGTGATAAATTCAAAAACGCTACCTTTCAGGATTGTGAATTGAAAGTTTACACCTTGGGTACATTTTTTTTCTTATACGTCTTTTTTGAAAACGGAAATTTTTAAGACTACTTTGTCTTTTTAATTTATTTGGTTTTTGTTAAAAAAATTTCATGTGGTTTTATAAAAATAAATTATTGAAATATTTATAACGTTTTGGGAATCCACACCCATCGTCATTTTTAAAAGACAGTATCAAAAATATATTTTTATTTTACAATACCTTATTATAAAACTGACCTTATATTTTTTTAAATTTTGTAATTTTTCTTTTAAATGATATATGACCATTTTGCATCTGTAATTTAATTTAAATTTATATAAAAAAATTTATTATTTTTAAGTAATATTTAATAAAAGGAAAGTATACTTGCCGACATATGGCCCAGATGGAAGAAATTCTCCTGTTGTTTTTTTAATGCGCTAAAAATCTTTTTTTAGGAATCTCATTTTTTGGCGTATTCCCACTATTTTTTATAATATGCATTTTTTTAAATGATTTTAATTTATTTTAAATTTTTATCTTTTTTATTTTACATTAAGAAAATTTTTTTTAGAAGTCTTGGTATACTTTTGCACTATCGTGCCAAAATTTAAACTATCAGATTTTTTTATTTGTATATTTTTGAAATAGTTTTTTGAAATTATTTTTAAAAATTTTTATTAAAAATTTTTATTAATTTTATAGAAAAAAAGGATTTTTCTTTTCTTATAAATGAGCATGATTCATGAATTAATTATAAGTTAGTACACAAAGTTATTAAATAAGTTCCTTAGTTTTGAAGAACTTAACCCTCATTTAAAGACTGAAATTTGAATTGATAATTTAAAAGTTCAATAAATTTAAAAATTTCGCTATTTTGAATACTTCTCTTTTTACGTAGAATGAAATGAATTTTTCCCCCTTACCGGTTGTTTTTTTAGATCTCTTTTTTGTTGGGGCAGGCAAAGTACATTTGTAATCGTGGACGGACATAACGCAAGTAAAAAAGTTACATTGAGATTAAACAGAAAATAAAGAAACAGAAATATAAAACATCTGGCTGATATTCTCACTACGTCGGCGTCTCGATAGTTCTCGGGACGATTGAGTATAAGCCCCTCCATTCTCGCTAATAAATTAATTCACAAACCAGATTCGTTCGCACTACCTCAGAACTCAATATTCCTCGGGGAAATTTTGGAAAGCCGCTGAATTCGCGCTAATAAATTACATTCACACACCACCCAGAGTGCTTTATATTCCTCGGGGAAATTAGGAAAAGCTGCTGTATTTGCGCTAATAAATTAATCCACAAACTAGACTCGTTCGCACTACCTCAGAGAACTTAATATTCCTCGGGAAAATTGCGGATAAGCCGCATCATTCACGCTAATAAATTATATTCACCAGAGTACCTTCTCGATATTTCTAGGAGTAATTTCGGTAAGACCAGCTCCATTCAAACCAGAAATTACATTACACCGCAATTATAAATATTATTTGGATATTACTGAAGATAAATCGAATAAAATTAACCGATCACCTAGATTACCGTCCTAAAATTTAGTTTGATAACTCTATCAAAAAATTTTGCCCAGAAAGACTCCCATTTAACAGTCTATATATTTAGATTTTAAAGTATATTACCCACAAATACATACATAGAAAACACTCAAAAACATAAAAATCTAGATTGAATTGTTATATTTGCTCAAGTTTAAAAAAAAAAATTCGTACATCAGTAATATATGTAAATACACACAAACTATCATAGAACTTATTATGTGCCACCCTGTTATCAATTTAGGGATATTTTTGAAGAAAAACATAGTAAAATTCATAGATCATCTAGATTGTCCTCCTAAAAACTAGTCTCACAACTCTATTAATGTTATTAGACCAGAAAAACCATAAATCATGATCTTTTACATATTTATGTTTTAAATTACTTTACACAATCATACGTAAAAACTCATAAAACCATTAAAAATTCAAGGTTATTTTGGGTAAAATAGATTTACTTAAGTTTCACAACAGAAACTATTTTAGGGCATAGAAATATTTATCGAATAATTATTGGTGTGTAAATAATTTATATAAGATCTATTAATATGTTTAGGTCTTAAATTATTTTGCTCATAAAAACATGTAAAATGAAGGTTAAATCATCCTATTTGCTAATTTTCGAAACCAAAGGCAATTGGTAAATGGTAGACTAACATTTATACAATAATAATACGTTTATAAGTACAGAGAAATTATTCTTTTAAAACCAATTTTTTTATTGTTAAAGCTCGTTCTCAAGGTTCAAGTTAAGTTTGATCTTGTCATACTATTGTCTTTCAAGTTTCAACTTAGAAAGTTTGATCTATCAAGTGAAACATGTGAAATTACCATTTGACTCTATAGTACTTTACAACTTTTACAGTACGCGTGTTATTTCTTTGTTTTTTGTTAACAAAATGGTTTAACAAAAAATAAGCCTCCAACATGACTTGAAGAGCAATGCTAAACTAATTACTATTCTGTTATGACCATTTATGTCTTTTGGAATCACTGACATACATAATACATATAGTATTTTTCTACATTATATCATATTTACAGATTTGAGAAAAAAATAGCCTTTTGTTCTATGTCAAATAAATTGAAATTGCTGTATTTATTATTGTAAAATTAAGATTTTTTGCCTATTGCGTCGGATTATCAGGCTCCCTTGACCAAAACATAAAAGATTTATGATTTATGGTGATTTATGAATACGTGGGATTACTTACGATGCGATTTGATTACTATAAAAATAAAGATGCGAGAGAAAATCCGTTGATTTCTATTTTAAACGATATGGAAATTGATAGACTTGCTAGTTCTGTTTCAAAAAACGAAATTAATATGGTTAAAATCGTGTCTAAACAAGCATGTTTAATGGTTTTACATATTAAAATTTCATCAATATTTATTGACCGAAAGCTTATAGAAAATGTTGAATCGTGAGTCCTTTAAGCAATTACTTCTATAATACAAATTTCCCCAATATAATCTAGTATAAATAAACAAGGATTTTATGAGTTTAGATATATTTTTATGATTATTTGGAGATCGGGAAATGCGGTCTGGTGTGACGTAAAAAAACATTTTTTTTTATCGTGTTGTTAGTTCGATCTTTATTTACATCATCTTCAGGGCTCAAAATGTTTGTTTTCCGTCTAGATGTGTCATTCTTGTGTGTCGTGTTGAGAGTGTATATGTTTTTATATTAAACTCGTCTTAAAATTGTTATTTTCATCAAGATATTAGGCAAAATATAATATATATTTTGGCATAACTTTTGTCAAAAAAACTTGGCTAGGTAGGTTTTTACATGTAGATTAATGATTCTTAAAACTTTTTAAAAAATTTCTACTCTCTTCTCCTCCTAAAGCATTTACTCCGTCAAGGGTACACTATTAAACAACTGCCTACCCGAAAATTTTCAGGATATGATTTAATTACAATATAAATATTATAAAATTTGCCCCAACAAGCTCTCCTAAGGACCGCAGGTTTTCTAAACTTATATTTCTAGTTCCTATTGGCTCATAGTCTCCTATACATTCTTGCCACAGTTGTACCAGACTATTTCTCCGACTATCATGGTCTACATTGAAAATTTTAATATTATTCTTGATCATCAGTTTGGATTCCGCTCATTTCACTCGACAACTCAAAAAATCCATCGTGCTGCCGACTATAGTGGCTATTCCCTTGAACAAAAATAGCATTGCATGGGTGTCTTTGCAGATTTAGACCCTATATCCTCCCCCTCTCGTGCTGAGATCTAATCAGACTGCACGATTTCACGGAACTGAACCTTATACGCATTGGGGCGGGTGTTCCTCAGGGAAGCGTAATTGGCCCATTTCAATTTTCAATATACATACCGCGAATATTTACAATGATATATTAGAACGACAGTTATCACTTCCAACCATAACAGAAAATCCTACAAGACGATTAAAACGAAAGTAGCCCCAGACCTCATTGACGAGGTTTCAGTGTGATAAGTTGCCACTGGGCAACTTCTCCTACAAGAATTTCAAATGATAAATTCATCATATATGATATTACTTAAAACAATAATTGTTATTTTAAATGTGTAGAGATGGCACTCTCAACACGACACACAAGGATGGCACAATTACACAGAAGACAAACACTTTGAGCCCTGAAGATGATCTCAATAAAAGATCGAAACGTTGGCACGATAAAGAAAATGTTTTTCTGAAACCTACATCACTCCCGACCGCATCTCACGATATCTGAATAACACTAGTTATTTTAAATATCAAATCAACGTAATTTAAACAATTTGGTATAAAGATATTTGACAAAATAGGCCACTGTTGCTTGAGGAATGTAGTTCAAAATTTCTCCAGACAATTCGACGGCAAAGTATGACGTATTCTTTTCCCACGGTGTTACAGTGTTGTAAATCACCCTATTAGCCTGGTACTTAAACTCGTCATATAATTATTAAGTTAATGTTTAAGCGTGGTCGTTAGCACAATCGAACCAACGCCATTTACACGGTTGAGAAATCCTCGTTAAGACGGTTCGCCTATGAAAACGTCGTAAATTATTAAATAATTATGTTACCCAATAGACCGCAGCTTGTTGTTTTTGTGTATCAATTCGATTAGGATGAAATCAAAGTGGATTTAATTCACTGGAGCGTTAAATTTAGTACAAAGAAAAAATTTACAAATAAAAAATGGTTGTTAAAAATTGTAATTTAGGTCGATTTTGGCGACAAGGATTGAGTTCTTTAGATTGGCGTATAAAAGAAAAGGAGTCGTGTGTTTAAAATTCACTTTCCCCCAATTCCTCGGATTGTTGATTCCGAGGGCAAGAGTTTTCCCGGTGCGGCCGTGCGCGACTCCACAGCTTGCAAAATCCGTCCTAGACCTTGATGTCGTTATTCAATTGCCCTCTTTTCTGTTTCAGAGTTTCTTCGGCAGGTCGTATAACAACCTGAGCTCGATTTCGGAGTGCAAGAACAACGGTGAATGCGTGATCAACAAGAAGAACAGAACGTCGTGCAAGGCGTGCAGACTGCGGAAGTGCCTGCTCGTCGGGATGTCGAAGAGCGGCTCCAGGTACGGAAGGAGGTCAAACTGGTTCAAGATCCATTGTCTCCTCCAAGAGCAGAAGCAGAAAAACGACGACGGCCGGCTTGGTGCCCAGATCGCCTCGATCAACAGGAACAAAGAGGAGTTGATGCTCCTCGGCCTGGAAGACTACAAAACCTACTCGCCTTCGACCAGCTCGCCCGGGTCAGACACATCCGAAGAAAAGTGCAGGCGCGAACCGCCCTATTTCGGATTTCCGATCATCCCGCAGATGTTCCTTCCGCAGCCGTTCCACCCGGCCTTCCTCCCTTCGCCGTACCTCTACCAGAACAGGACGTGGGACGAATCGCCGATCGACCTGTCGACGAAAAGCGCCGAAGACTCGACAGACTCGGACGAAGACATCAACGTCGACGATCTTCCCGAAGAGCCTTCCATCATCCGAGCGCCCCTCGATCTCACGACGAAAGTCGTCTAATCTCTCTCTCTCTCTCTCAAAAATAAAACCTACTCCCCTTTGTACATAAAACACTGTAAATAAGACTAAAAATGTAATTTATAGATCGTTCATTTTAGTAGGAGCAAATTTGTTTTAATTTGTACATTGATTGTTTCAAAATCGGTTGCCCTAATGACCAGACATTAGGAGAGTTTTATTCCAAAATAATTCCTGTAAACACGAATAAGTTGTAAAATTTGTATAGTATTTTATAAAAATGGTTACAAACCAATAAATGTAAAATGTCACATTTTTCGTTCTTCTTTTCCCGATTAATTGGAACGTTGTTCGTTTTCACAATAATTGGCCTAAGGCGTTGCACGAAGTCCTTTCAAATCATTTGTTTATCAGCCATTTAAAAGACAGTTTATTGTCTAAATGATTACATAATACTTTAAATAATTGAAAACATAAACTTTAATGGCATTTAACATGGGTGTTAAACATGTACAAATATAAAAAAAAAAGTAGGATAAAGTACTTTCAACTAATTTGTTTATTAACCATTTTAAAAAATCTATTTAATGTTTAATTGAAGGCTATTTAATAAATAATACTAAAAATAAACGACTTAAACTTTAATGACGTTTTACTAGCTACACGTTGAATTTAAATTGCAAGAACATCCTAGTCAAAAAAGGTTTTCAAAGTCCTTCCAAATTATTTATTTATCTGTCATTAATAAAACTGTTTAATGCCTAACTGATTAAATTATTCTTTCAATAATTGCAAACATAAACTTTAATGTAATTTGACTGGTGTTACGCGTTGAAACTCAATTGAATAACATATCTATAAGAAAATGTTTCCAGGAAGTCCTTTCAACTCATTTGTCCATCAACCATTTAAAAAATCTGTTTATGTCTAATTGAAGGCTAATGAATAATACTAATAATTCTAAAACTAATTAAAGACTTAAACTTTAATGACACCTTACTCGTTACACGTTGAAACTCAATTGCAAGTATGTACATCCTTGTGAAAAAAGTTTGTCAACAACAACAATAATTTGGAAGGATCAATCCTTCCAAATTATTTATTTTTTCAGTCATTAAGAAACCGTTTATTGTCTGATTGAAGTTTAATGAATAAATTATATTAAAGTAATTAAAAACTTAAGCCTTAATGACATTTTACTGGTTACACGTTGAATCTCAATTCGAAAGCACATTCCAAAATGCAAAAAATGCTAGCACATAAAAATATAAACATGTGTATATATGGTCAGGAATATTGTGATAATTTGAATTATGTAAATTGATGAAAATAAGAGAAACCGATGGTTAAAATGAAAAAAATTATTAATTTTATATTCTCATGTAAGTTGGACGTTTTACACTGTAGTAATTTGTAGTGTTATCCAGGTTTCCCTTTGATGCTTAATTAAGTACTAACGGAAAATAAGCCCAATCGACAGAGCACTTTTCAACTAGACACGCTTGAGGACCTAGAAAAGGTACAAACAACACATTCCACATGACAAATTAAGTAGGAAAAGAACAGACTTAATTCGACAAGGACTTTTTCTACCTTTAACGAGCTTATAAAATGTACAAGGATCAACAGAAATCACTCAGTCCACTGAAGAATGGCGTGTCGTGAAGAAATTCCAATTTATTTGTTAAACATTGTTAGATTTATGTTAAAATTATAAGTCGCATGGTAGTTTTATTGCAAGTGGGAAGCTAGGAATATGTGAAACGGCTAGATGCCATATGCCAGCTTTTCTTATTCCTTGTCAGTCTCTCTTTAAAACTGGCAAGTCATTCAGGTCTAGCCGTGTCGGACTCGTTGGTTATTCAAATAGTAAACGCGTATGAAATCCCCCCGTCTTTCTTTACGACTTGCCTCGGTTCTAACAGAATTGGACAACGGCTACGAAAAAGGGTAGAGAAAAATCTTCGGAACACGGGCCGTGTCTGGTTTTAAAAGCGGGAGCGATTACACGTTTTGAAATTCACGGCGTTAATGGGAGGAGTCGAGTCATCCCGTTGAACCTTTCAACTCGCGGTGTCTAATGCCAGGGAGAAATCCGACTGGTGCACAGTTCTTTCTCACACGCGGAGAAAGTATCTCATGCCAGCCGGGTTCGCCGTAGGTCGACGAACACGACCAAAACGGCTAATTTCCAGGACCTGGTATGTACCTGGCCATGCTTAAGCTATTTCTTTCCTCTTCCATTTATTAACAAATTGTAATAGACACAAATACAAAGATTGGATCAACTTAGATATAACAAATTTAAAAATATATCTATTTTCATTCCAAATCATCCATAATTTTTCCAATGCGACTGAGAGTGGAGTCTTTCAAGGACACCATTGTCCTAACGATACTTAATTTTTTTTATTTCCCCCGACCTTCTTTCCCTTCTTCCTTCATTTACAATACAAAATCCATTTATCTGTTCATAACATAAAATATGCTTAATGTTAATGTGTGGTGATTACTAACCGTTAGTCGATGATTATTCGGAGATCGTGAGATGCGTTCTAGTGAGATGTAGGTTTTAGAAAAACATTTTCTTCATCGTGCCAACGTTTCGATCTTTATTGAGATCATCTTCAGGGCCTGGGATTTACAAACATTGTTTAAATTTAACAAATACATTTAGTATGTGGAAAAAAGTGAATGTATACAATGCAAAAAAATATTCGATCAAAGTATTTTTACTCATTCAAAGTGTTTGTTTTCTACGTAATTGTGCCATTCTCGGTGTCGTGTTGAGAGTGCCAGTGAGATACTTGAATTTTTTTTTGAAATTGAATATAAAAAATATTTTTTTCCATTGTATAAATTCGCTTTTTTCCACATCCTACATGTACTTGTTAAATTTAAACAATGTTTGTAAATCCCCGGCTCTGAAGATGATCTCAATAAAAGTCGAAACGTTAGCACGATAAAGAAAATGTTTTTCTAAAACCTACGTCATACCAGACCGCATCTCACGATCTCCGAATAATCTTGATATTAATGTTCATATGTTTATAACAGATGTGATGAACCACCTCGCAAAGGAAAAATCCTGAGTTGAAATTTAGCGTTCGTAAATCACTTATTCAAAAAGAAATACTTTACGAGTTAAAATAAAACATAAATACATACAATAATACCAATAAAACTGTTCAATATTTAAGTGTGAGTTACTTACCTTACTGTGAGTAGGAACTATCCTTTTAAAAAGTATTGAACACCACACTCACTCCATCATTTATCATTTCTAATAAAATTGTTTGGCAGACGGTTTATTATCATGCCGGATAATGGAATATGTATTTTATTTTTCGTATCAATTGTACACATATGTGTACATATTGTTTCTTAGTAATTTATTGGTTAATTTAGTTAGAAAAATATTACATATCGCAATTATTTACATTTTAGCTAATAAAAAAATTCATCGTTTCCCAAATAAAATTCACTTTTTTAGAATTTGATTTGTAAAAGGACAACTTTGAACTGCAATACGGTGTATTTGTTTTGTAAAAGGTGAATTTGATTTGTAAAACAGCGAAATTGATTCGCAAACGGGTGAATTTGAATTAAGAAAAGTTTTGATTTGTAAAAGGATTGATTTTTTTTTGCAAATGGGTGACTTACTTAAATTGTTTGCAAACGAGCAAGTTAGATTCATTAAGAGTTAATTTTGTTTGCAAAAGTGTGAATTTGATTTGCAAATGAGTGAATTTGATTTGAAAAAGGATAAATTTGATTTTCTAAAGAGCGAATTTGATTTGCAAAAGAGTGAATTTGATTTGGAAAAGGATAAATTTGATTTTCTAAAGAGCGAATTTGTTTTACAAAAGAATGAATTTGAGTTCGAAAAGGGCGAAGTTGATTTGCAAAAGAGCAAGTTTGATTTATTAAGGGTTAATTTCATTTTCATGAGTGTGAATTTCATTTGCAAAGGTGTGATTTTGATTTGCAAAAATGTCAATTTGATTTACAAAAAAGTGAATTTGATTTCGAAAAGGGCGAAGTTGATTTGCAAAAGAGTGAATTTGATTTCGAAAAGGGCGAAATTGATTTGCAAAAGAGTGAATTTGATTTGAAGAAAGGTGAATTTGATTTACAAAAAAGTGAATTTGATTTCGAAAAGGGCGAAGTTGATTTGCAAAAGGGTGAGTTTGATTTGCAAAAGGATGCATTTGATTTGCAAAAGTGTAAATTTGGTTAGGAAAAGGGCTAATTTGATTTTCAAAAGAGTGTATTTTATCTGCAAAGGTGAGAATTTTGTTTGCAAGAAGGTGAATTTGATTTGCAAAGGTGTGATTTTGATACACAAAGGTGTGAATTTGATTTGCAAAAGGGTATATTGATTTGGAAAAGGGTTAATTTGATTTTCTAAAGAGTGAATTTGATTTTCAAAAGAGTTAATTTGATTTGGAAAAGGGCGAAGTTAATTTGCAAAGGGTAAATTTGATTTTTAAAATAGTGGTTAATTTGATTTTCTAAAGAGTGAATTTGATTTTCAAAAGAGTTAATTTGATTTGGAAAAGGGCGAAGTTAATTTGCAAAGGGTAAATTTGATTTTTAAAATAGTGATTTTGATTTACAAAGGTGTGAATTTGATTTGCAAAAGGGAGAATTTGATTTTCAAAAATGTGCATTTTATTTGCAAAGGTGTTAATTTTGTTTGAAAAAGGGTGAATTTGATTTTCAAATTGTTTTTCAATTGATTTTTATTTTTTAAACATATATTTGATTTGCAAAAGGATGAAATGGATTTCCAAAAGGGCGAATTTAAATCGCAAATTGTTATAGCAGTTCGTATACAACTTTGAATTCAAAGTCATATAAGAAACCATCAGAAAAATTCCAGTCGACAATACTTTTCTGAATTTAGCGAGTCATATTCTGCTGGTAAGACAGTGAAACCAAATTTGTACCAAATACTAAGCCACAAGGGATAGATTTCGTAATATTAAAACTAAAAACTATAGGACCTGTAGCTAATATGATGTTTCTCGTCGTTTATCTTATATCTCTGGGTATAAATGCTTTTAAAAATATCTTAACTGGCTGATTTCAATCGTGAAATACTCCTGAGCTCATCACGGACAAGCTTGAAGTGTAAATGATTTCTTAACGGTCTCGTAATCGTGATATATGTATTCTATCAGGGCGTCCGTCTACACGGTGTAGTGCAACTTGGGCAACCCCATCAAATGGGCTGACCTTTACGTCTATGAGAGTCATATATGCAATCGCACATGTTCCTCTCTGTGGGAATCTGATTTCTTTCGATCGAGATCACAAACCGGGAGTAGAAATCAACGACCTGTAGGTTCGTCCGTTCATGTATTTTAAAATGACGAAAACCGCCCTCTAGGGCCAAGTAGATTGAGTAAACATTGGCAAAAGTAATTTGTTTCTATTTCAGAAGTTTAAAAAGTAGGAAAGAGAGGCAGGTTTTTTTCAAATCCGGGCATCCGGCGGCCATCCTACTTCCGGAACAGGTCGTACAGCGGCCTGCGTTTCTTTTTCACGAGGTCTCTCTCCACCCTGGTCAGTTCCTGGTCTCGGTTCAGCAGCCCGTAACTGTATATACCGCGCAAGTGCGGCGGTGACAGGCTCTGACAGAGCAGCAGAAAATCCTGGAAAACAACCACTTGGCTAACAAAGTTCCAGCGTATCTGCTGTGGGGTTTTTGTTCGTAAATAACCTTGTCAGGCGAAGTGATGAACCTCTTTCGGTACGATCTGGCCTGCTGGTCGTTCTCGTCCGCCAGAGGTTCACGACACCTCCTCACTGTCGCGTTGTTGTTGAACTCACAGTAATAGACAACGTCAACCACATCGGCAAACCTGAAAAACAATTTCTTATTGGCTGTCCCTTCCTCCTCACCAGTTCTTCATCCGCTCCCGACAATTTACCTTAACTGTTTTGGTCTGCTCCTGTCAATTCTATCCGTATCCCCTGAGCAGAGAAGCTGGTTCCTGTCGGGGCTTGTCGATCGGCCTAATTCTTAAATATAAAAAAAAGTATAAACATATCATTAGTACCAATGTAATACCTATAAAACACCTTTCATTCAAAATGGTGTCTGATTTAAGCAATACTTTTACTAAATGAATGTTTGTTTATATTGCCTTCCATAGAAGCGCTATAGGTTAGGTTACAACCTATAGGTACGCTATAGGTTATACAACCATAGAATTTAGCATCGACACATCCATATATCCAAGGTTAAGGTTAAAAAGAATCGGCCTATTTACGGACCAATATTGGTCTATTGTGCAATATCCATTAATATAGCTTGTTATGCTTAAGGCTTTTTATCATATCCAACAGATTTCGAGTAAGACTCCTGCATAGGCCTTTATACCAAGAGAAGGCATGGTCCACAAACCTCAATTAACCTCAAATTAATACCTGTCCTCTACAGGGGGGAGAACTATTTTTATCAGAACAACAATTTTATCACATGTACACTTAATAAGAAGGACGCTACAGGAATAACAACTTTATGCCTTGAAGATGTCCTGAGAGGTCAAAATGTCGTCAATTAAATGAAAAACGTGTTTTTGTTTTTTTCTGACTTATGTCTAACCTGACCACTCGTCACTATTTCAACCATTTATTAAAAGTTATGTATACAGCACAATGATGATGAGGTGATATGAATTTTGTAAAATGCTCACATTCGAAACATATTTGAAAGACTCAGATTAGTAGTTATTTTTGTAAGATTTGGTGATGCATGGATAAACTAAACTTTTGGAGAACTTAAAACGGAGGAAATTAATACACAAAACTACCTAGGTAATTTATTATTCTGCAACTTTTTTTATTTTATTTTAATTTTTATTGCAATAATACTTATATAGACACAATTAATGTTTAAGAAACCTCGATAACAAACCAGTTATATAAAAATTTGCACATTGCTGAGCTCACAGAAGTGACACAACTCATCTTGTCTCTCGCTCTTTGTTTTATTATGCTTTTGCAAGTGCTAAAAAGTCAGAATAAGCTCTACCATTTTTAAATTGAATATTTAAAATTCTCTATTTCCAATATAAAAAAATAATAATAATAATAATAATACTTTAAATTAGTCATACTTTTACTGTTTGGTTTGTTTGTGAAGAAAATGCTGAACGATAACATTTAGGTAAATTCTGAATACACATTTTGTCCATTTTATTAATAAATTTGTGAGATTATGCTAACGTGCTATTTGTTTAGTAACTAAAAAAACAATATATTCTCAAGGTGTTGTGATTATTTTATAAATTGTTAAAAGAAAATCATCCAAGAGAAAGAATCAGAATTTAAAGTGATCATGACAAAAATTTAAAATCATGTCTGACCAAACTATGATATGCATATCAAGAATGAAAGTCAACACCGCATAGACCACACAAAAAGCTCACAATTTAATTTATTTTAATTAATTTTGTCAAATTTCAAAATTTCCTGCCTACATATTTTTTCTTTAAGTTTTCAAAGAGAAAATTTAAGAGTAATCTCCCAAGCCAATATTAATCTCCCAAGCCAATATTTTAGTATTGTTTGGAATATGAAAATTTATTTAAATGTATTTCTATCTAAATGAAGTGTTACTAAGATAGGAAATCCATTTTTGTAGAAAAAATGTGTTCTTTAGAATTTTTTCTTTTAAGAACTAATAAGTTAGTTTATATAATTGTTCATAAATATTTGGCAGTTTTTTAAACTTACAATTAGAAAAAGTAAATATTTTTTCCTGCATTGATAGTTAATAGTTTAAAATATTATAAGTTCTTATATTGCTGCAAGATCTTAATTAGGTAAGAATTGAACTGATACCAGAATCAAAATCGGCAGCAATGTCTACTGCGTCCAGGCGTGTTTCTAGTTTCCTTTTTCCTTTTGGGTTAGCATTGTCTTTACGTCGAGCTCCTCTTCCTGTTTGTTGAAGAAAAAAATTAGAAAACATTCTAGTGTACTAACGATGGATCTTGCCTGCTGCAGCTTGAAGAGCTCGTTGATACCGTTCAGTCAACGCTAGCTCACTCAAAGTCCTGTGTAGCTCCCGCATGTCCTCCTCAGATTGGCCTAGGTCTTAATTGACAAAAAATGTACAAATGGCTAGGAAATTTTGTAAAAAAACAAAATAATATTTACCTTTTAGACTGTACATTTCCTTCAGTGTGAGTTTTCTTGGCATTTCGTTCCGACAAACTGCATACATTCATTGACAAACGCAAGATCCGGTATCAAAAAACTTGATGTGGTCAAACATGAAAGGCTTTGTAAAACTATTTCTTGTGACCATCGTTGTTTTTCCATTCTCCCTCCATTTCGCCCTGCAATTAATTTTTTATGTCTGAATCAATTCCATTGTTAATGTCGGTGAGAACAGAGCGCTTACAGCACGGATCGGTTTCCAAGTTATGCAGCTGACCGGATTAAAAAAGATTTTACAAAAAGATGCCCATGATGGCTAAACTAATATTGAAACTCTAAAAGAAAATTATTTAAGTGATATAACACAGCCCTTTCATATGTTCACAACACATGTTTTAGAGAAATTGTTAAAAATGAAATTCTATCAAAGAAATGGTGTATTTTTTGTACATAAAAACAATTAAATTGAACTTTTATATAGAAACGTTTAGCGCTTGCAGACCAGCTATCTCTCATTGACGATAACTGACATAAACATATTAAATTCTGCTTTTCCCACAGGTTTTATTTTTCTCTTACCAATTTATAAAATCACAAAACTCTGAGAATATATCCTACAAATTTATTAATAAAATATACTAAATTCATATTTCAGAATTTGAAATTTACTTAAGGGTTATCGTTCAGCATTTTCTTCCCAAATTTCAAACTATCCGAAAACTAGCAATCTTGGTGACTTAGGTTTCATCCTGTCAGGCATAATGCTAATATTCACAAATTACCGATTTTTGTTTGTTTTAAGCAGAATTTCTTGATGCACCTCTACAAAAGTTTGCATTAAAAAGAAAGCAAGGAGGATGAATAGTCCTTGCCACCATCTTGAGATGATCAGGAACAATTCAAACTATCAATTAACCATCAGGCTACCAGGGAAAATGGTACATGTTTAAACTATAAATCAACGGTTCTAATTTTTTAATTAGTGGGAGCTGCTTTTTCTGACGGTTTTATAAAAAAAAATTTCTTTTTAAATATGATCAATTAAATAGCACATATTTTGTCAAGTCAGTGACATTGTTTTGGCTTGTGTTTTATGATTTATTTATTATTATTATTATTAATAAAGGTAAGCAACCACTAAGGGTCATAATCTTCCTTGAACAGAAATATGTTTAGGGTAGCAATGAACAGAAGCCACTGGCCGGCAAGAGATATGACCATGCCAGGCTTGCCATACCTTGCCACCACCCCCATTCATGCCTCTTCTTCTAAATTTTAAAGAACAGACCAGCCATACTCAAAAAATTGAAACATTTTTCTACTCTGTGTCCATAATCTGACAAAATCTGTACCAAATTACCTGAAGCATTACATGCGCTCCTTTTCAAATCGAGAACAGACAGTAAGAATATGTTTGACTGTTAGCTGTTCCTGACAAATTTGACCGATCGGTGGAGGTTCTCTTACCATGAGAAAACTACGTGCGAGTCTGCAATGACCTATTCTGAGGCGAGTTAGGACTGTTTCTTCCTAACGGGAAGTTCGAGTGGCGAAGGTCCATTGTTTTACATCTTCCTTAATTCCTCTCAGCTTGTTGAGTGTCATTTCAAGCCATTCGTAATGCCAATTTTCTCAAATTGTTCTCTTGTTGGTGAGAAAGTCTTGGTATGGTATAGTAATGAGGATATTAGGAAGCAGGGTTTGTTCTCCTCAGGCACTGCAGCCTTCTGGCTTGTACATTCCTAGTTCCCTAGTTCAATGAAATAGACTCAATCCTTCTCCTTAGAAGTATCAGGTCATTGACTGTTGCTGCTGCAATTTGATTCCCTAAGTTTTTTTTCCCATACATGAGGTTAAATCTCCATTGAGCTGTTGCTTCGCATTCTAAGATGATATGGGTGGCTGTTTCCTCCTCCTCATGCATCATCTGCAGATCCCATGATGTGTACATGTTTTCTCAGATGCCATTGACTGGTTAATAGTCCTATCACTCATCTGAGTCTGGCCATCTCCAATTGCAGCACTGATTTTACCAGTCTTGGTGAGGTTATTTCATCATAAGTTTACTATCTCTAGTACCACTAGAGTTTATCCACTTTTCGTTTTGTTTGGATCCATTCTGTGATGGAAGATTCTATATTTATTTTTGTTATCCCAGGTTCAGGCCATGGTCTTGCAGATTCTCCTTTCGTCAGGTTGTTGGGTTTCTCCAGGTTTTGGAGATTTTGGATGCATTCACTGACTACTTTTGATGTGATTTTTTTACATGCTAATGCTTTAATAGCTGCTTGGCTATCAGATCTTATGAGGATTTTTTTGCCAGTGTAACATCTTTTAAGATTTTCTAGGGCACAAGCGTTGATGGCATTTAGTGCAGTAGACTCAATCCTTCTTCTAAAAAGTATCACTTGACGGTCACTGCTACATTCCTTAGATTTATTTGTTGTATGTTAGGTTAAATCTCCATTGAGTCGTTTCTTCACATTTGAAGATGATATGGGTGGCGGTTTCCTCCTCCTCATTGCATAATCTGCAGATGAGATCATAATTGTATATTGGCAGTACGTGTTTAGATCATCGTATGTGTGCGTAGGTGTTTCAGATCATCATGCCCAAAGGCTTGTATAGATGTCTGATCCGGTTCCTTTGTTTGTTTTGGAGCCATCTGTATACAATATCATTGTGTGATTATTTTATTGTTTGATACTATCCTGTGTTCTTCCTCTTCTTTCGTCTATTGAGACTTTATAGGACGTTGTGAAGAATGTTCCCAGGATCATATAGTCAGTCCCCATTTCTAAGAATAGGTGTTTGATTTTGTTATATATGGTTGTATGCCGGAATTGATTAGTTCCTATCCAATTTGTTTTTGGAGCCTAAATGAGCTTTTACAAGCTTTATCCTTGTATAAATGATTCCAGTGGAGGTAGGTTTAGCAGTTTCTACTGCACTTGTAGGAGTTGTGCTCATTGCCCTTGTGATACATAGGTTTGCTAATCTTTGTATGCTGCCTTATGATTGAGTAGGTACTTGTTGTTGAGCTTTCGACCACCAGATTAATGATCCATGGGTCATTATTATTATTATTATTATTATTACTGCCGTGTAATGCCAATAGGTCATTTTCTTTCTTGTGGTCAAGAAAGTATTATCCAGATCCCTTCCGTGTTCAGCAAGCATTCGCCATGTCACAATGACCCGGAATCCACATAAAAAGGACAGTGAAATTTTTTCAGGGCTAGGAGTATTTCCTTAATTACAAGATTAAGATGGCTTGTGTTAAGTGAATTGGATGAATTAAATTGTCCAGGACCTTCATGGTGGTTAGATTTGGTTGTTTTTTTTTAGATGAAATAGATTCTTTATATAAATTTTAATAGTAACTAACAGAATAATTACATTGAAAAGCATTATTTACAAAGACAAAATTAACATAAAATAAAAAACATAATATACATGGTGTACAATAAATTTATTCAAATTCTTCTTCAGTCAGGTGGTCAAGTTTGACGCAAGACTGTGTGGCTTTCGGCCTCGGTTTGTCGACGTTCTTAGCTTTCTTGATCTTTTGCCCGATGACGTATTCGGGCATGGTGAGCTTGCCGTTGACGAACGAAGGCTTCTCGGAGAAGTCGACCTGTGCGAGCTCTTCTCCGTCCTTCTCCTTGAAGTTGCGGTTGAACTTGATCTTGTCGGGAGGCGGAGGCTCTCCGTCCGTATCCATCTTGCGCTGGCGAATCTCTTCGAGGAAAGCCATGGCCACCGCCCGGTTGCTCTTGTCCGACATCTCCTCGTCGTCGAGCTTGTACCTCTTCCACTTGTGAGGATTCTTGACGAAATCGGGCAGGTTGAGCTTGGTGCTCCTCTTCTGAAGAGGTATGTCGGGACGTTTAAAAATGGACTCCTTTCCGACGAAAGACTTCAGCTCTTTCCTTGACGGATCGACTGTCAGCTTCCTAGATTTGAACTTCACCTCATCCTCGGTAACCCTGTTTTCGGGCTGCTTGGAGCTCATCCTGTCCAACTCTTCGAAAACGTTCTTCTGCCTGTCGTTAAACTGAAGATCACCCTTGAGGTAGAAATTCTTACTTTTGTCGAACATCTTCTACGACTCTGTCAACTGTATAAACAAAGTTCAAACAGGTTAAAACAGTCTTTTGGTTACAACTTTGTAACCGGAAGGTCTGCAGAACGCCCACCAAGATGGCTAAGCATCATTGATGACACACTGACTCCCATTTTCAACATTGAAACACCAATTTGAATTTTATTTCATTTCATATCTTTGTTTTTACACATAATCTGTACGAAGGTCCTTTCCCATCCTTGACATATAAAACTGAGTTCTATTATTACACACACATATAAGAAAAGTTAAAAAAAAATATAAGTATTAGAAATAATTAATTATTATAAAAATTACATAAGAAAAATATTCATAAGAACCAATAATAATGCAATATAATATAAGAAGAATGTCAGTATGAAAGCTTTTCAGGCTGGGATCTGATTTTTTGAAATCAGACAATTTGTGTTCTCAAAACATAATCCACTTAAACTTTTCAAAGATATAAAAGTATGCTATTTTCTTTTGATTTTTTATAATACATACAAACTTTCTACTCCAGGCATGGAATAGATGGAACTTTTATATTAACACCAAGGATTTCCACATAAGACGAAGGAAATGAAATGCAAGGGCTAAGTCTGATAGGATGAAATTTTAATAGTACAATTTCAGTCGTTGCGAACATCTTTAGAATGGTCTCCTCAGAGATGCTTTCTTTTTAATGAAAATTTTCATAGACTTATGCCAAATATTTTCAGTTAAATGAAGGAAAATTGCTAGGATAGTGAAATGCTAGGTTTAGGTATGACAGGATGAAATCTAGGAGTCCTCGATCATGTCTGGTGTATTCATCTAATCGAAACATTCATCAAATTAGGTCAATGTTTTCATTTAAGAAATGGATAATAACTTATTTTGTGAACCGTAGTATTATGTATAACAGGATGAAATCTAAGAGACTTTGTTAGTTCAATGAACGTCTTTAGAATGGTTTCCTCGGAGGTGCTTTCTTTTTAATGTAAATTATCATAGAATGTCAAGTATTTCCAGTTAAATGAAGGAAAATTGCTAAATTAGTTAAATGCTAGGGTTAGGTCTTACAGGATGAAGTCTAGGAGTCTTACCTGAGAGTTCATGGAAAATTTGAATTTGGATCGTTCCCGACCATGTCTAGTATATTCATCCTCCACAGGGATGTTTTCTTTCAAATGGAAACTTTTATAAAATTACATCATTTTCATATAAAAAAATATATAATCACTAAGTTTGTGAGCAATAGTATTATGTCTAACAGAGTGAAATTTTGCTAGTTCAATTTCAATCGTTCCTGATCATGTCTGATGTATTCATTACAGGATTTTTTCTTTTTAATGAAACTAATGGATTCTTTCATAAAATTACATCATTTTCATTTAAAAGAAGTGTACAATCACTAAGTTTGTGAGCAATAGTATTATGTCTGACAGAATGAAATTTTGGTAATTCAATTTTAGTCGTTCCTAATCTTGTCTGGTGTATTCATTACAGAGACGTTTTCTTTTTAATGAAACTAACTAACATTTCCATTTAAAAGAAGTGTATAATCACTAAGTTTGTGAGCAATAGTATTATGTCTCACAGAGTGAAATTTTGCTAGTTCAAGTTGTCGTTCCTGAACATCTTTAGAAAGGTCTCCTTACAGATGCTTTCTTTTTAATGGAAATTTTCAGAGTTGTGTCAAGTATTTTTAATTAAACGAAGGAAAATGGCTGAGTTAATGAAATGCAAGGGTTAGGTTTGACAGGATGAAATCTAGGAGTCCTAGATTGGTAGTTTGCCGAAAGTGAATTTCCAACATTCCTGATTCATCCTCCACAGCGATGTTTTCTCTATAATGGAAATTTTCATCAAATTACATCAACATTTTCAATTAAAAGAAATGGATAATCACTCTGTTTGTGAATGATAGTCTTATGTCTGATAGGAAGAAATCTTAGACTTTGTTTGGTAATTCAATTTCGATCATTCCTGAACGTCTTTAAAATGGATTCCTCACAGATGCTTTTTTTTAATGTTGTCATTTTCCGATTAAACAAAGGAAAATTGCTAGGTTAGGTCTGACAGGATGAAATCTACTAGACTTAGATTGGTAGTTTCTGATCATCTTTGGCCTGGACTATACATCCTCCTTCCCTACTGTCTTTTTTTTCTCTTGTAAACTTTATTTAGAGTTACATAAACAATTTCTCCTTGAAACAAAGGAAAATTTGTGAATGTCAGTGTTACATTTAATGGGATGAAAAGAGCTTTTATTTCATTCATTCTTGATCATCTCTGCCGTAGACTCTACCTCTTCCTTAGGGATGCTGTTTTCTCACCTTTCATAGAGTTGTATCAAGTTTTATGCTTAAAACAAAGGAAAATGGTAGATTTGTGCATAGGGTTATGTCTGACAAGATAAAATCTAAGAGACCAAGATTCGTAGTTTTTGTACAGTTTGGTTGAAAAGGATACATTTTTAATTGCTGGTAGTACTGCAATAAGTTATTTTTATTATGATAACTCTTGGTTACCCAACAGAAAGCTTCTAGTCTGAAGGATGGGGCACCTTTATTTTCGTTTGTCTGCCACCTTATTTCCTTGACAATATATATACAGCAATATGGTCCCAAATGCAATATGTTGGTTATTTCAATATTTTGATATTGGTCCTTGGATTTACAGATCAAAAAAGTAATGATAACAAGACCAAAATTACCAGAAAAGATCTAACTTCAAGTTAATCACACTGTAGATATCAAGAGGATATCTTATGATATAAAACATGATTGCTTATATCAATGACTAGTTTGAAAATAATGTTCTCCTTGTAAACACTCATCTTTATTACTCAGTCTGAAATTATTATGTATAAAAAAATTATTATAATACTACAATACAACCAACTATAATAAGAAGTAGAGGTAGTGACACAAGTGAAAACATTTTGTACTTATAATTGTACCGAAGTAGTTAAGGAATCTTTCAAATAGACAATAACGATGAAACAGACCTTTATAAAAGTTTTATATACAAAATGACTAAAGAGCTAAAATTTTCTATACATCCCGGCAGTTGCATCGAATAAAGCTTTGTTTCGAAACTCTCCTTTCATGTCGAGCATGTAATAAAGGTATTTGCCGTGAACTTTAATTGGCAGGTGGACCCTAGCGTTAGTCCTGCTAGTAATAGCGCTCACCTAAACAATAAAAGAATTAATACATTTTACAATTTAATTGTAGTTGAATTGTCTTACATATCTCAAAGGGACATCCATGATCCGATTAGGTCCAAATGGCGTGTAAGTGACTAGTGATATTATTTTGCCCCCTTTCCTCAGAATCAAGTAGCGGACTGACCTGAGAGTGAATGTGCACGCACTACCAAACATAACACAACCTGTAAGCAATAGAATAGTAAAGTTGGTTGTAAGATTTACCTGTAATTTTATCGTTACTGATTATCCTTGCTGCGTGTGTCAGAAGCGTTTCGACATTTTATTCAGTGTTGGGTCTGGCAATTATAATTAGATCTTAATCTTGGACACGCTGAAATGCTAGAACTGGCAGACCAAGCTGGTCAGTAATGATCAAATATCACACCACAGACCATAGGAGGAAATCTCACGTATTAAGCTTTTTCTTGTCAGGTGTGATTGAAAAGCTTAAAGCATTTTTTTTTTGTGAACTGAAGATGGCAAAATACTGACTAAATTAAAGTTGGTGTTGGTTGGTCTACATGGGGGTGACTAGTGATCACTGTATATTGTCATTATAATAGAGGTAGCATTAGCAAGATCAGATAGTTAGGTGATCAGTGATGACCAGTTCTTACATTCACAGACCAACACTAACTGTACTGCCGATCATTTTGGACTGACTGTTCTTTCTGGTGTTTTGGCATTTTGTCATCTTCGGCATGTCCAACAAGGACAAGGAGACCAAGATGATTGGTAAAAATCAAATGACAGGCTCGTCGCCCCCACAGACCACAGGATGAAATCTTACAAATTAAACTTTTCATTTACTTCACGAGAGACAGAGAAAACCAGACACTGATGATGGCGAAATGCAGACACATCAAACCAAACCCAGTGGGGGAAGGCCAAATTGATCAATAACTTACAAATAAAAGTTTACTTTGGATGGGATCAGTAATGGATTGTTTCATCCACTTGCAGACCAACTAACTGCAATTTGGTGTTAGCGATCATTTTGTGAGTCAGTGCGTGGATGAACTGCTACGACATTGATGACTGCATGATATGGCCACTTTAAAGGTTAACAGCATGATCAAATGGTAAATTGATCAGTGCCAATCAGTTCATTTACTCACTGACCGACATTAACTGAAATTTGGCTGTTACTGATGATTTTGGTCAGTGAGTCGATGAACTGCTCTGACACTGATGACTATGAGATATGGTCACCTTAAAGGAGGTTAACAGCAAGATCAAATGGTAAGTTAATCAGTGCCAGAGCAGTTCATCCACTCACTGACCAAAATAATCGGTAATGACCAAATTTCAATTAGTGTTGGTTGGTCAGTGAATGGATGAACTGATCGACACTGATCAACTTTCTATTTGATCCTGTTGTAAACTTCCTTTATATGGCCATATCATATAGTCATCAGTGTCGGAGCAGTTCATCCACTTACTGACCAAAATGATCGGTAACGACCAAATTTCAAATTTCTTCATAATGCTTTGGATTAAAAATGATAAAATATAGTTGAAATTGACAAATAATTACCGAAAAATACGGAAAATCCTGCAAGTCCGCGTTTGACCTTCGGATGACCAAGGTTGACCTTCTTCCACCACGGATCTTCTTTGTTTTGGGAGGCGGGCACGTCTTTCAGGTCGTGGTAGGCGATGTTGGCCATGTATGACCAGAATCCGAGCTGTGACAAAGCGAACAGGTTCATAAACCTGAAGTAAGTCGGGTTTTCGTACTTAAAAAGTATCACGTCCTTGGCCGGGTTCGTGTTCACCTCGAGGACGTCGGTCGAGAGTGGACGGACGACTCTCGACGACAACCTCTGCAGCACCCTGTACATCCCAGCAATGTTCATAACTCATAAAGGTATAACATCATAATGCCGTTACGCTACAGAGTACAGACTGCAGGTCTGCAGCTGTGCGGAACCTAGACTTTAAACAGCACGTGCGTTTATGTACGACCTTGAACAGTGGTTACGTTTGACGTAATGCGAAGAGTTTGGTTAGTTGGCTCAGCTCTACTTTATACTTTGAATTATCGACCTTCATCAACAAAAATCTAGGTTGAGGCTTAAATTGAACCTATATTTGTGTTGACTCTATGGCAATCTTTCGACTATTCGTTCAGAAACGTTGGATTACTTCAGGATGACCGGCGAACAGAGGTCAATACTTCAGAAGTTTATCCTACATGTCCAGTTGAACTACAACCTCCTTATCGTCGTAAGTCAGTCGTCTGATTTTCAATCGTGTTGGAGATATTTCAAACTTTAGGACACTTCAACCTGGGTACTTCATACCATAAAATCTGTTTCTCATAAAACGTTAAAAATTTGATTTTGAATAAGAAGAACATTGAAAAATCTATGAGATTAGTACTTTCTTAATTGTAACTTTAAACAAACAAAATACAAAATCACCTAGAAGATACATAGACTTGAAAAGTTTCCAAAGTTCTTGTAAAACTGAGAGAAACTATGCTTACAGTAAAGTAGTAATGTGAATTAAGCACAGTACTTTATTTGTCAAAGATCAGTCACTTATCCTTATTAGTTGAATGTGAAATTAACGTTTATTTGAAAAAGTTTGGTTTTTTGAAAAATAAAGAAAGTAATATAAAGTAAACGTAAAAGGCTCGTACAAAATTGAACACAAAAAACGACAAGCTTTAAAACTTTTTTCACATTGCTTTCTGCACAACATTTATACATTTAACAATATATAATGCGGGGCTGAAATGACCAAGTTAAATAAATAAGTAAATAAATAAATAAAAACAATGTAAAATGCTTTTTATCCTTATTACATATACTGATAATATTTATGTATTAAAAAATTAATATAATTTACATTACAAATATAAAAAAACAATAGAATATCTGGTATAACTACAACTATCTGGTATAACTATTAAAAATAAATCTAATCACTTGCTGGCACACAACAAAACTGTAGTGGCAATCAGGCAGATTATTAAACCACTCTCAAATTATTATTATTATTATTATTATATTTTTTACTTGGAGTACTTAGATTTTCCCACACATAGTATTGGAAATATTAAAAAACAATTTTAAATACTCACATTAAATGGATATTCTATTAATATGAGCAAAAAATTGTGGTGTAAAAATTGAGAGACTAGAATATATACAATAAAAATAATTTGAATTTGGTCAAAAATAGGTAGATATATTTTAATATGGTACAACGCAGAATGTATAATTTTATACATCTCTCTCTCTCTCTCTCTCTCTCTCTCTCTCTCTCTCTATCTCTATCTATCTATCTATCTATCTATCTATCTATCTATCTACCTACCTACCTACCTACCTATATCTTTCTTTATTTAGCGAATGGGTGAGAGAGATAGAGAGAATGATGGATATAATTTCATTTTAAAAAAATCTCAAAAATTTAGGTCACAAACGACTTCTATTGCACTAAATGAGAAAGTGAGCGAGAGAGAGAGAAAAAAATAGATAGATAGATAGATAGAGATAGATAGGGAGAGAGTGAGAGAGAGAGAGAGAGAGAGAGAGAGAGAGAGAGAGAGAGAATGAATGTAAGAGAGAAAATGAAAACAAACATAAAAAGAAGTATTAAGAGGGAAAAGAAGAGAGAGATAAATGAATGATTGAAAGATTTTAACAGTTAAATATATAGAGAAAGAAGAGAAGAGAGTAGGAGTGTGAGAGAGATGGCGGTGGCTAGAGAAAGAAAGAAAGGAAAAAAGCGAGAGATAAAGATAAAGAAAAAGAGACAGAGGGACATAGAGAATGAAAGATTGATGAGGGACCCAGAGAGCGAATGGGTGAAAGAGATAGAGAAAGGATGAACAAATGAATATAGTTTTATTTAAGAAAAAATCTCCAAAATTTAGGTGCAACGACTTCTATTGCATTAAACGAGAAAATGAGTGAGAGAAGTGAAAAAAATGAGAGAGAGAGAGAGAGAGAGAGAGAGAGAGAGAGAGAGAATAAGAAAGAGAGAAAATAAAAACAGGCACAAAAAGAAGTTTGAGATAAAGAAGGAGGGAGAAAATGTATGATTTAGATAGATAAATAGATAGAGAGAAAGAGAAATAGATAGAGAAAGAAAAGAAGAGAAGAGAGAGAGAGAGAGGGAGAGAGAGAGGGAGAGAGAGAGAGAGAGAGAGAGAAGATAATGTGAGGTGGTTTTAGTGGAAGAAAACTCTTTTCTGTGGAAATATAAATTAATTATGTAGATATATTTTGAATTTTACAACTCAGAATGTATAAAATATAAAACAAAAATTTTAATTAATTATTTTAATAAAACATTAGTAAAAAGGGTTATAATTACTTAAATTAAACGAAAAATTGTTTCGATTTCGGGTTTTTTTGTTTTTTTTTTTTGGCAAGAAAGCCGGTAAGCTATGGATAAAAATGTAAATCCTGGTCTTACAAGCCTTGTTCCATTCAGTCGGTTGAAAAATTATGAAATGACATTTTAAACGCATTTGTTCCAGTTGAAAAATGGTTGTTTTATCCCTCAGCTCCTCTCGACAATGCCAGTCTCCCGGCTTTTGTCGAAAGGGCAGACGTTGTCAATGTTCACGATACAAGCATGCACGGCTGTCAAAGGTGAAGGAGAGGAATGTCATAAGTGGAAATTATCTCGGCACGTTATGATGCCACTTATTTATCGACCCGCCCCTCCAGCCTCCAGGCTGTCTCTCCAGCCCCGAGGGAATTATTGTTTAAAGGCCCATTTTCAAATATTAACGATGAAAAAAAAAATACTGTAAATGTTCCTTGTGAAGAAAAGGCCTGTTTAATGTACGCTGTGCTTTTAGTAAGTTTCAGTTTTTGCTCTAAATAAACAGTTCAAGCCAATAAGGATTTAAGTTTTTTAAAAATTCTACTCACTCTGTGCCTTGGGAAATCAAATTACGAGCTAGCATTAAAGAATAGAATTTATAAATCTAGGTATTGAACATTTAACGACCTATTAAATACAGAACTGCTCTTATTTTCGCGCATACTTAAAGCGCAAAAATTTCTCTTTATTTGCCATCTGCTTTTACAACAAATAAACAGTTGTTATTTAGTTCCTAGTCAGATAAAAATTAATTTATCTTATTTTTCATTTTCATTTTGCTCTTTTTCATTTATCAGTATTTCACACTCTCCTTTTCACTTTTATACATTAATTCATTATTTTTCTGGACTCTTTCTTCTCACGCTCTCTCTCTCTCTCTCTCTCTCTCTCTCTCTCTCTCTCTCTCTCTCTATCTATCTATCTATCCATCTATCTATCTATCTATCTATCTATCTACTATCTCTCCCTCTCTTTCTCTATCTGGCACGATTATATCGACTGTCGGATTGGATTTAAATTCGAGACTTGGTTTATTTCTTCCTTGAAAATAGGCAAATGTTGTATCGTCACGTTCGAACTTCGATTGAATACATGGTCTAAACAAACGCAACGATGACACGAAGCCTTGGATTAAGGGGGTGGATTAAACCACGTCAACCCCCCCCCCCCCAAGCCCAAGGATTACGATTACTTAGAGTCCAAAACATTACAATGCATGCTGTATCACATTCGCCATATCACATCACTATGTAAATCAAGCATAAAATGTTTAATTTCTTTTGTATTTTATTTTTAATAATAAAATTTCAAACGAAGTTAATAAAATCATAAGTGGCATAATAAAAGGATAAGTGGCTTGGTTATTAATGTTAAATCTTCGTCAAACGAAATATTAAATTATTCAATGATCAAAGAATATTATTGAAACCAATTAATTTGCCGCATTCTTCGTTTGGCTAAGGCAATGAATTAATCTTAATTAAATAATTCGTTTCTGTAAAACACGTGTTTTTATCATTTCGTTATTACTCTTGATGAATAATTCTCAATAATCTTAAATACAATTTTTAATTATTTATATATAAATTTAGGACGTTTTTGGTTGTAGAAATGAGTTGAAAAACAACGAATTTCTAAAACGGAATTAATTATGAAATAAAATAAAATAAAAAAATTCATGGTATTCTTTTTCGGTTCTCCCTTTGACCATGCGATAGATAAAAATAAATGAAATAGAAAGAGGTTAAGTTGGAGAGACAGAGAAAAGAAAGAGTGAGAGAGCAAAAATAGAGAAAAGAGTGATGTTGAGAGAAAAGAAAAAAGAAAGAGAGAGATTGAGCAGGGAAAAAGACACATTGAAAGAAAAATAAAACAAAATATTTATGGAGCATACATATTTTTACCTTTAATCACTCTTACTAAATTTAATATGTAGTGTGTAATACTCAATACATCGGAAATGAAAGGGAGAGAGTGAGAGAAAGTAAGAGTAGAAAAAAGAAAGGATATTGAGAGAGGGGGAAAAGAGAGAAAGGAAAAAAAATGAGAAATAGAGGGAAAGAAGGAGAAAGAATAAGAAAGTACGAAAAAAATATAGAGAGAATGACAAAAGCTAGAGGAAGACTGTGAGAGAGAGAAAGAAGATGAGAGCAGAAAAGGGAGAGTGAAAAAAGGAGAGATATTGAGAGAAAAAGAGAGGGAAGATGAAAAGAGGGATAGAGGAAGAGAGTGAATGAGAACAGGTAAAAAAGATTGAAAAAAACGGAGAAAACAGAGTAAGTGAGCAAAAAAAAAAAAACAGGAGATTTTTCGAGAAAGAAGGAAAGAGAGAGAATGAAAGATTTATATAGATAGATAGAGACAAGAGAAATGGATATAGAAAGAAAAGAAGAAGGAAAGAGAGGTATCGAGAAAGAAAGAGATAGAAAGAAAGAAAGGAAGAGAGAAAGAAAAGACAAAAAATAATGAATTGAATTGCTTGAAGAGAGAAGGAGAGAGTGAAAACAGAAAAAAGTGAGCTGTTGAAAAAAAGAAATAGAAGTAGAGAGAGAGAGAGAGAGAGAGAGAGAGGAGGAGAGAGAGAGTGAGAGAGC